GCGATGAAAACGCCTTAGAGTGTTAACCCTCGCCCGCACATGGGGGGGGGGGTTGCCACCCCCCCCCCCAGGTAGTTTTTCTGCTCTGCACTACACATTTTTAAAGATAGAAGACTGATTTTTCGTATAGCTGCTCCTCTATCCTTTCTTGATGTTCACTGAAAATTTCAAGTTTCTGTGATTTTTGGTTTCGGAGATATGACCTTGTTTTTCAGATCATGTCATGACCCAAATGGCCAATTCTCAACATCTTGCGTTTGCCATGGGCCTTGTGAGCTTTTGACACCCTGATTTCGGCCTTTTTTGCCAGTCTTACCTCCCACCTATCATGGAACATGCTGTTCGACGATGTACAGGGGTCAAGGTCAGGGTCAAGGTCAACCTAGGTCATCTAAGATAATTGCGTTTTAGGCAAGCTGAATTTACTTTTTGTGAAGTTTTTTGACTGCATTTTTGGTAAAAGCTTCTCAGATCATGATTTCATGTAATATGGACCCAAAAACAATCGGTGCACACATCAGTATACACACAGACACACACAGACATACAAACACATATAATTGACCTTGACCTAACTTGACCTGAAATGACCTCAGCAGCAAAATTCTGGTCGGGTAGTGTGACAAAGAGGTTCTAGCTGGCTTGGCACCAGAAAACAGCATCGTCATCGGTATTTGATAAGCAGCGCACTTGATATCCAACGGTGACCCAAAACAGCAGCATTTTTTAGCTTGACCTGACCTGGAAGGTCAATGAATGACCTGAGAAGGTAAAACTGGGTATCATTGGATTCGTCTCTTCCCAAAGAATCTTTTTGGTCTTTACCGCTAAGCTCTATCTCCAACAGGAACGAAATGGCGCGGGGGGGGGGGGTGGCAACCACCCCCCCCCCCCCATGTGCGTTCTAGGATGGGAAAATGGCATGTGCGGGCGAGGGTTAAGCTCGACGATACGGATCGACTGAAATGCAATATGACCGTTTCCGGTCAGGTGATGACCTTAACCTGAGGTCAAATTTTCAATTGACCTTTCGAGGTCAAATCATAGTTCATTCGATGCGTCTTGACGAGAGGAACATGATGCCGGTAAAAGTAAGCTCGTGCAAGGTTTGAGTCAAAAGTAATTGCAGAAGAACTGTTTCCGAAAAAATCGGCTATTTTGGCAGTTTTTGCCCCTGCGGGCAAAACCGTTGACGTTAGGTCAAATCTGAGAGTAACTATTATGCAGAAAATTGGCGTTAATAGGGCTATCGAATGCGCTTTTCGGCGGCGCTGCAGCTCCATTGGTTCCCGAGTTATGCGTTGGCTTCTTGGAAATTGTCGACATTCGACCTGCAAATCGGCTAAATTTTGCTTTCAATGACATCTGGTGACCTGACCTTTGACCGGACCATAAAAGTGACTAAGTGATTTCATCATTATTTTTGGCGTTCTTTCGAACACCGCCTTCCGCGTATCGCTACGTGGCCCAGGAGCCGAGTTAGAAGGGGAAGGTGTGTTCAAACATAACACCCCCCCCCCCCACCCACCCACCCCACCACCACCACCACCACCACCACCAGGGCGTGGAAATCCAGGACCCCTTGCGGAGCGCGGATTAAAAAAAAAGTTCACTTAAACTAGAAACAAAGTATACCATTTAATGCGCACGGATGTGCTGGACAGTGTTCACCACGGGCCGCCAGTGTGTGCACTAACAGGCACACACTGTGTAAACTGCTGTAGGTGAAACGAAAGCAAATATTTTTAGAGAAAAAAAAAACTGCGATTGCAACATGATGACACTTAGTTAGATCAACGCCAAACCAAAACAGATACGACTTTTTGGGACCCTGCATTAGAAGCAGGGGACTCTGGGGATCATGGCCGTGTATAATTTTTGCAGTTTGTATTAAATGAACGCACGCTAGCGGCGTTTGAACTTGCAAGTGTCTGACAGTCATTTTACGACAGAGAAAATGTCACGACTTCTGACAATCATACACGAAGCCGGTTTTGACAAAAATATGAAAACTATATGATTTCAGATGCATCAAACATTTTTTTTTAGCCATATAGCGATTTACTCGGTTTGGTAAACTTGACTTTTTGTTATTTATGGCCACTCATGAACCCCATTTGCATCACTGTGCGGCCCAGTCTAAACCCATTCATGGTAAAAGTGTCAGAGCCCAGCCCGGCCCAGCCCGTCAAATTTGAATGGATTAACCCGCGCCCCGTAGGGGCTCTGCCGAGCAACGCGCCCTGTTGGGGGGGGGGGGGCATTTTGCCCCCCCCCCTAAGATCTCAAGAACCACGCAACCTAGCGACAAGCGGCAAACGGTGTTGGATAGCCCTATCAGGGAACTACCTTTTGACCCAATATTATTGACCTAGGTCAAACCGATGACGTCACAGGTCAGGTCAAAGGTCCAATTTTCACCGTTTACAGACATTTCAAGAAATGCGTTGTACAATCGAGTAAAATGCATTTCATTGAAAATCATCCATGGTGAAATGTACTTTAAACACATATTTTGCTATTTGAGGTCACTGATACCAGGTCAGGTCACAGAGGTCAGGTCACTGGGGGGTCACAATATAAAAGTGTCGTGTGATACATGTTTTATGGTCCATTTTACATGACAAATGCGATTATGTGGGTCAGGCAGCCTTTGGGGCCAGCTTAGGTCACGTTTTGGTCAAGGTCAGGTCAAGGTCAGGTCAAGGCCAGGTCAAATTAGGTCAAATTTCAAAGTTAATATTTTTGCATAAAATGGGTATCGAATCGATGCAGCTCGTCACGGGGAGTTCAATGGTGGTCTTTGTTTTGCCGTGCGTGGTCTAGAATCGCAAAAAAATTGAGTTAAAAAAATTAACGTCATCATTTTTGAACAGTTTTTTTCGCTATAACTTGGCCAAAAAACGAGATATCGATCTGAAATTTGGTATGTATATAGAAGAGCGCAGGGACTATCACAAATATTCCGTTTTTTCATAATTCGGAATTTTTTTGGATTTTTATAGTTTTTTCTAAAAAAATCAATTTTTTGAATTTTTTTGGGTCAAAAACCCAAAATTTTGAAAATCCGAGATAGCAGTTTTGTAGCGCCGCTTTTGTCTACTAGACCATATAACGAACATTGAAATTGCTTGATAACTGTAGATTTGGTGAGCGTTTCAAGATTGCATGTTTTTTGCTCATTTTTGCTCGAACATGACCTCAGTTTGACCTCAATAACTCCTGACCTAAGGTGACCTAAGACTTGAAATTTAGTGTGAAGGTGTCAAATTGATGCCCGGGAAGGTACTGAAAATTTGGTGGCGCTGCGCGCAGCCGTTTTCTTGCTATTTAGGAAAAACCACAGGGGGGGCTAAAACGGCCCCCCCCCCCAACGGGGTGATGGTTAAAATTATGGACACCACTGACCACACTTGTATTATGTCATCTAAAGGTACCAAAGAAACAATATTTTGCGAGCAGCATGCCCAATGCACATTCCGCATACGTGCTTTATTTTCTCGTTTTGGAGTATCGCACAGTAATAAGCTAGTTCATGTTTTTGTTTCAGTCACGAACCCCTGAGTCCACTTACAGTTTTGGCTCAGCCCATCCACAGCCCATTGATCTTAGTATTTGAGGTCCCAGCCCAGCCCGTAGCCCAGCCCAGCCCATGGTCCATTGGGCTAGCCCGGCCCATGGCGAACACTACTGCTGGGTTTACTGGTGCTGTTTTTTTTTTTTTTTGCTCTATCCTAGCTCGATCAGAACTCAGAGGCTATCAGCAAAAAAACTTTTGACCTGTTTTAGCGACATTCTTACATTTATACACCCCCCCCCCCTAAATATTGACCAAGAGCAACCAAATTTGCACAGGGGCGAGATCTCCTATGACCCCATCTACCCTGTAAATTTGGTGTTTCTAAGTGCCATAGGAGCCAATCGCCAGGGGGTCGTCTCCCCCCTGGCCGTCTGCGTTATGAAAAAGGCCCTGGCCTGGCGAAGGTTAAACCACGATTGTATTTTTTTTTTTCAAACTCTGCAAACAGTATCACCTTTCGCCATCAATATTTTATTCGATTTGCCGATACTATATCTAGCACACTACTATCAGCCAACACAACTTGAGAACATTTTCCAAACACGCTGTTTTGTCAGAGCTCGACAACATGACTTTGAAATATCGAAAGTTCTCTGTTTATTTTCGGTCGAACACAGGCCCACACCAAGCACAGAATTAGAAAACAGTGTCAAAGTTGGCTTCGTATCAATGGCTGGAAGCGAGTAGCGTGTTTTGCTAGGCAGATATTGAGCTCAACTGTGTATTTGGCGTCCAGTTGTCTGGACGTGCCAAATATGGTTATTTTGAAGGGATTTATTTATTCCAGGAGGGATAGATAATGGATAGACACGAATAATACTAATTCGAATACTAAATCGGAAATACTAAATGGAATTACCCCCCTCTGGAACTTAAATCGAAAATGTCTATTGTGTTCATAGACATATCATCGAACATACAGAACATGAATCATGTTAGATTCATAAAGATTCATGTTATCTATGCATTGAAACATGTTCATTATTGATAACAGCAGTATTTGAAATAAGACAGCAACCCGAACCATCTCACACAAAAATAATGTACATACATTTTAGCAGAAGTCTTATAACAACAACAACCCACGCTCACGATCGTCACACACTCTCTCTCTCTCTCTCTCTCTCTCTCTCTCTCTCTCTCTCTCTCTCTCTCTCTCTCTCTCTCTCTCTCTCTCTCTCTCTCTCTCTTTCTCTCTCATCCCTCTCTCCCTCGCGGGACCCCTCGAACCCCTCACCTCTCCCCTAAGCCTCCCAGCGGGTCAATGAGCGACTTAACCCTCACCGACCCAGCCCCCGCGCTGTGGGAGAGGGGGGACGCCGAGGGCAGGGGAGGGGAGCTCCGAGGGGGGGGGGGGGTGGAAGTGAGCGGCTGGTCAGATGACACTCTGTCGCCGGCGGCGGTGGCGGACGGAGGGACCTGCCGGAGGGAACGTAGGAGGGACGGTACGAGGGCAGCGGAGTCATCGGAGTCAGCGGAGTCAGCGGAGTCATCGGAGTCAGCGGAGGGCAGCGGAGGAAGTCCTGAGACACCCGAGGAAGCGGAGAGACAACGGGAGACATTGAGACAGCCAGAGATTGAGACACAGTTGGAGGTCATTGAGAGACTGCGAGGCATCAAGGAGAGACATTTCGAGAGAGCGAGAAAAAGCTGAAGCTATATACGGCTACGAGAAAAGCTATCTTCTCGAGGTAAGTTTTCTTACGTTGTAATGTGTAACGAATATGAGCAATCAGCCAGTTTCTCACAGTTCTAGTGATTGCATAACTAAGACGACGATAGAACAATATGCTATGAGCGATGCAGCGTAAAACGCTTTTCAAAAGTCACGTTTTCAAAAAGAAACCTTATTTTTTCGTAGTTGAAAAGTTGACAGATCTCAAACCAGTGTCATTTTCCTTTGCTTGATGTTCGATCGCAATTGTTTAAAAATTTCAAGACCTAAGTCGTGTAAATTGTATTATTTCTTACACAATTAGCTACAGGGAAGCGAGACAGTACACAAATCTCCCCTTCTGCGCATGTTTGCGCTTAAAACCGTGCTCATGTATCGTACGATGTGCTCAAGCAAGCCAGCAATTATTCTTTTCTGCTTCGCACTAACACTATCAGTTAAGTTCAGCTCAATTCAGTTCATTTTATTGAGTATCAACAGCAAAACAAATAGAAGTTTAATGATGAATACACAAAAGATAAACTAAATCAAAGCGCCTCTCCAAAATGAAAACAAAGCTGTCGGTTATCACGAAACTGGGGTCGGCCTGTACCGACCCCGCCAGCAGCCCGCCGAGCAGCCCCCTGGACCGGTAGGGCTTTTGGACGCCGAGCAGTCCCATACCGGTCTGATGTCTTCATTGTCTAATTAAATATCAGCATAATACGACGCTCTATGTGGATTAACTGGTGACAATTGTTTGATTGATGGTCTAGGGGACGCTAAAGGCGGCTTCTCTTTCAGGGGATTTCAGAGTGAGTGAAAGTGAGCGAATGAGTGAGAGAGTGAGAGAGAGAGAGAGAGAGAGAGAGAGAGAGAGAGAGAGAGAGAGAGAGAGAGAGAGAGAGAGAGAAAGAGAGAAAGAGGTGCGAAGTAAAGACATGACAAAGTACAAACGGAAAAGAAAAGCTTTGGATGTTCTGCTTGGCTTATGACTTAGGCTCGTCACTTACTTTGGCTTAAATTGCACTAAACTAAACTAAGCTCGTTTTTACCATATGGTTAGAATTGTTAGCTCATTAGCCACAAATGAAGAAGCATAGCTTTTATATTTTGAATAAGTCTTGCAACTGGCGTTAATCAGGAAAAGTGGTTTTAGGTACTGGAAGGTTTAGGTATATGATTACAAAGGGTTTCAAATTTCCAAAAACTTATTGTAATTCGCTTCTATATGGTTTACTATGCAGTCTAAAACAAATTTATATTATTCTTAAAATTTAGAAAAATGTCCGAACGATTGTATATTTGGTTGTGGCCCGTAGCCCCGCTAAGCAGCGCCCAGCTACTTTAAATATTAAAAGTTGCTAAGCTTATCAAGTGATGAAAACGGCGACATTTTGACCATTTTAGGCGCTGCGAGAGGAGCAAATGTCTCAGATGCCTCCATTTAGACCCGCCAGTGTGTGTGAAATAGAAAGTGTAAGGGCACCTCATCTAAAACTGCAACCAAGGCCGTGTATACTGCAACCCTTCCCACCGTTACACGAATCCGACTTCCCTGTACCCAGAATTCAGCCATTCTAAAACAGCGCGTTCTGTATTCTGAACTTTTGTTCCTGGCCTTCTGTATCATATTTTGCATAAGTGGGCAATAGCCAGTTGGATTCGTGCTTTCGTCTGTCTCTTATTACACTATAACACGCGCCTAAACCGCCCATTTGACCGCCATTACGGGAATCTTTTTCGTCGTTGAGCTGCGGAAACAAAAAGAGACCAAAATCCGTACGCTCTAAAAGCGATGCCAGATCAGAGTTGTAGACTTGCAAAAAGGCCGAAATCTGCCTTCTTTGAAGGGATGCTAGACTGCCATCGTTGAATTACAAAAAGGCAAAAATCCACATACACTAAAAGCGATATAAGGCGATTGCATAAGGCTAGGCTTGAAAAGGGGAGTCGGATAAAACTACTATGAAGAACGAGCCAGCGCACTGTAAAGGAAAATTAGTATAAAAGCAATCGTATGCTTGGTGGAATGGTTTGGAAGATAATGCCAACTTTTGGGGCAGCACTTCCATTGATTGCTTCAATACTTCATCAAATTTCCTTGCATCACATTCTGTATAAGCTTCACATCAACATGATGATTCCGCATTGTATACTTCCAGACATGTTTGTTTTCAATTGAAATTCAAAGTTGTCTTCGAGGATGTATTATACAGGATGATATAATTTCATAATAATCTGTCAGCGATCGCTGCCGTAGTACATGCAAAGTAAAGGTTTGGCTACACTATCCGTTTTCTGCGTGCTATTTTAGTGGTTTGCGTGTTTTGTGTTAATATCGTTCTAGAAAAATATAAATAGTATAACTTTCACATTATTAACCCACGAGCCGCCTGGGGGGCATAAAGTTGCCCCCCTTTACGTTTTGTAAAATATCTCCGAAACCTGATGAGCTACGAAGGTGAAACTTGGCATAGCTTCAAATGAATACCTAGGCAATGTTTGAAGAAAGTTTGGTGATTGTAGCACCTAAGATGACGTCACAGTGACGTCATAAAGGTTTGTTGTTTTCCGATATGGACCGTTTCTGATGACGCTGAGCATGAAACTCAACTGTAAATGAACTAGACAGCACCTGCTGTCATCCTAAAACATCTAACTACACTTCCATCTAGTTTCTGACCAATAATCGACCCTTTATATTCGGTTCCATATATCTGATGTATCGTGAGGAATATGAGAGTCGCAAATCTATAATTTCACTTATGACGTCACTGTGACGTCATTTCAAATGGAATCGACACCAAATTTGGACACAACCTCGGCTAGGTATTCAGGAAGATGTGTGCAAAGTTTTGCTTCTCTATCTCTTCGCGTTGCGACGATATCGTCGCAGAAGTAAAGGGGGGGCAACTATATGCCCCCCCCCCCCCAGCGGCCGGCGGGTGGCGCGGAGGCCCAGCGGCCGCCGGGTTAACACACACAAGTTATTATAACTCTTATATTAACTAACTAAAATTAATGTAAAAAACATCACAAAAAGTAATATCGTTGTTTTCTACAATGTTTTGTAGTCTTGTTCTTTTTCTGTAGAACGACATTACACAAAAACCGCAAACCCGCAAAAAAAAACGCACAGAGAAAACGCATAGTGTAGCGAGGCCTTTATCCCACCGGTAGGGTCGTCAGCCTGTGGTCCTGCCTCTGTACCCGACAGGTAGACTGTACCGCAACACACTGAAGTACTACGGCACAGTCTACCCACTCTAACGCACACTTTCGTCCAGGCACCACGAAACTAGCCCCAGACGGGAGAGTGGTATTACTGAAAACGACACGAGAAAAGAGATAAAAAAATGAAATGCGTGTAAAATCATAATGGCAGGTAAGGAATCGACAAGAAGAGAGAGAGAGAGAGAGAGAGAGAGAGAGAGAGAGAGAGAGAGAGAGAGAGAGAGAGAGAGAGAGAGAGAGAGAGAGAGAGAGAGAGACAGAGAGACAGAGACAGAGACAGAGACAGAGACAGAGAGACAGAGAGAGAGTCCAGATATCCCAACCTGTCTAACCGTAGACAATCCGAGCTTGTCGCGGCACACCACGTGACCGCGTCACATATCCCAACCTGTCTAGCCGTAGACAATCCGAGCCTGTCGTGGCACACCACGTGACCGGCGAGGTCATTACACCCCGTCGGCACTTGAAGGTATTCATGTCCGTTTGGGGGTGAGTCCGATACATTCATCGGATCACACAGGACAGAGGGGAAGAGTGGTAGAGAGAGGGGTGGGGAGAGAGGTGTGTGGTCGTTTGTGGTCAGTGTAGGGGAGGGACGGGAGGGGGATAGGTGGGTGCTTCTTATGCTAGATAGAAGGGAGGCTGGTAAGAGAGAGAGAGAGAGAGAGAGAGAGAGAGAGAGAGAGAGAGAGAGAGAGAGAGAGAAGTGAGAGAAAGAGAGAAGAGAGAGAGAGAGAGGAGCAGGAGAGAGTTCCATAGTGGTAGTGAAAGAGAAAGACAGACAGACAGACAGACAGACAGACAGACAGACAGACAGACAGACAGACAGACAGACAGACAAACATGACGCACAACCAGCTGTGACGTAACTCAATAAGCCTATCATTATTTATTCTGACTTTGTTCGAGAGACAGTACCTACATACCTACTAATCGAACCCATACAATGCCATCAGAAAATGGTAAATGATCTTGTGATGCCTAGCCGGTTGCCAAATATTCTCGAGACATTTAGGAAAATGGGGTGATTTTGTGTCTTTTTTTGCGTTTTTTTTTCCCTCTCTATTTCTCGTAGAACAATGACCGACTACCTTCCCCACACACTTACACACGCATTACCTACTATTTCTCAAACAAAAATCGAGTCAAAAATATTGAAATCAAATAAAGGCTGCACATTACAGTGAACTGCGAGTACAGCATCGATCAGATGTTCCCATAGGTATCCGTCATCATTTCGCAATATCATTTCTCCCCGCTATTACCCTCCCCTACCATCTCCCCAAAAATAACCTCCTCTTTTTCTTTGTTTCAGATCTCTCTCAACTAAAAACCGACAGCGCGCGCCAACAGCAAAACGAAGCTCGCGCCACTGTTAATCCTGCGCCTCTTTGGCAAAGATAGCAAGCTTCGTCCCGGATTAACTCGCTACCACGCTATATCGTCCCAGTTGGCAAGCTTTTCTGGCGCGGCTCCATTTCCAGCTATTCGGAGTGTCATTTGGAATTTGATAACGAGTGGCGGGGGAGGAGCAGAACGGGCAGAGGGGAGTGATGTGGAGGTACTGAAAGGAGAGAGGTGGGGAGAGAGAAAAGCGGAACAGTGATCAGGTGGAGCTCAGGTGTGGAGGAAAACGAAGAGGAGAAAGGGAGGGAAAAAGAAGACGAGAGACAAATAGAAAACGAGCAAAGAAGAGGCAAGACAAAGAAAGGACAAAGCAGAGCCGAACTGAACAAACGTTGGTGGGTTGAGTCTGGTAGTGAGAATCGCAGAGAGACTCAGAGAGAAGAAAACAAAAACAACTCACGGAGAGGAGGCAAACGACGGGTTCTCAGCTATCAGCGTGGTTTTTAAAATCTCCCCGCGCCTGGCATCGCATCAGAAAGAAACGCCAAGAAGTTCAGGCTGCCCTCGGTTCGGCAAGATGTCCTCCTAGCATCGGGTTCCCTCCCATGCTAAACACTCACTAATCTAACTTCTTTCGCCTCTCTTTCTCCCACCTTTCCCTAGCTTTCCTCTTCTACACTCTCCCCTTCACCTTTTATCTTTTCTCTATCTTACCCTTATCTATTTATCATCTTTTCAAGCCGTCTTCCTCCCTTGTATCTAAATCATATCTGGTGATTTTGTGAAGTCATACTTCGTTTACCGCTCTCTTCCTACCTATCCTCTACGTTTCTCTTTCTCTCTCTTCCTTCCCTCTCTCTCTCTCTCTCTCTCTCTCTCTCTCTCTCTCTCTCTCTCTCTCTCTCTCTCATTCCTCTCACTCTCTCTCCCCTTTCCCTCTCCCGCTTTCTCTCCCTTAACCCTCTCTCTCTCTTCCTTTAACCGTCTCTCTCTCTCTCTCTCTCTCACCTCTCCCTCTCACCCGTTCCCACGATGGCACGCGTGGCTCGTTCTTCTCACGGTGGTTCTCACGGCACCGGCTCCAGCGCCCGCCGTCGAGCACCCCCCACTCAGCAGTCCCAATGACCAAATAACCGAGCCCGGCCCGCAGTCAAACTCATGTCTTTTCTGCTACATTTTAGCGATTATGTCCTCGGCGGAAGTTCGCCGACGGATGATAGTGTGGATAAACTGCATCGGAAGTACACCATACTGGTGAGTACAGCGTGGAAACACCTAGTGTGGGGGTTATTGTACACTGTGTTAAGTGTAAACAATGGTAGCTACACCATACACCGCAGATTGTCGCACTACACCAACATTACACCATACTGGTGAGTATAGCGTGGAAACACCTAGTGTGGGGGTTATTGTACCTGTGTTAGAGTGTAAACAATGGTAGCTACACCAGGCACCACAGCTTATATCACACTACACCAAAATCACGCCATACTGGCAAATACAAGGACACCTTGTGTGAGGGTCATTGTACGCTGTGTTAGAGTGTAAACATTGTAATAATATGGCAGCTACGCTATACACTGCAGTTTGTGTTACAGTACACCGCAAGTACACCACAGTGGAGAGTAGAACGCAAAGACACCTTGTCTGTGGGTTATTGTACGCTGTGTTTGAGTGACAGTGCTTAAATTGTGTAATTTTTGTAATGTGTATACAATACTGGTGAGAAATCCAGACAAGGTTATTTTCAATCTGTCGTCCAAAGTCATTTCTTCCAGAATTAAGTTTCTCTTAGCCTTTGGCCTTGAGTTTAAGCTCCATGTATGGAAGCTCAACTTCTACAACTACTTCCTCTGCTTCGAGAAGTTGATTCGTTCGATTTCATCTCTTCATTTACCACCCCGGTACTCGTTTCTAGACGTGAAACAGCGGATTCGTACGATCGCCTACAACTACTATCATAGATTCAAACCTTCTAAGGTATTTTCGGCAGTGTTTTCCAAAAAAGACATATAGAGAGTATGCTTGACAATTTCATCCGAAGATATTGAATAATCACTATATGACCAAACCACCAAATGAAAATCACTCAAGTCCCAATGGACATAGAGTTAATTGAGAATCTGCTGAATTGTGGGCAGTATCTCTTCATTTTCTGCTACCTTGAAATTAGGCCTGCTCTAATTGAGCAATGCCGAAACGGAGTTTCCCAATAAATCATGTGGTGAGCGTTTGCAAACTTTTACAAGGAAGAGCCTCTGTGTGTGAGGTTGTCTTGTAATTCTACAGCTCTACTGGTATTAACTGAGCGTGCAGAATGATACATGGTACGTACATGTGCCAGGAAAATCACGTAACATTTGTCGCTCTGAATTAACCCGCGCCCGGCTGGGGGTCCTGGATTTCCACGCTCTGCTGGGGGGGGGGTGTTTGAACACCCCCCCCTTGTAACTCGGCTCCTGGGCCACGTAGCGATACGCGGAAGGCGGCGTTCGAAAGAGCGTCAAAAATAATGACGAAATCACTTCGGTCAATTTTTTGGTCAGGTCAAAGGTCAGGTCACCAGAGGTCATTGAAGGCAAAATTTCGCCGATTTCCAGGTCGAATGTCGAAAATTTCCAAGAAGCCAATGCATAACTCGAGAACCAATAGAGTTACAGCGCCGCGGAAAAGAGCATTCGATAGCCCTATTAGAGCCCTTTCTGAGTAATTCTCTCAGATTTGACCGAACGTCAACGGTTTTGCCTGCAGGGGGCAAAAATTGCAAAAATAGCCGATTTTTTCGGAAACAGTTTTTCTGCAATAACTTTTGACTCAAGCCTTGTACGAGCTTACTTTTACCGGCATTGTGTTCCTCTCGTCAAGACGCATCGAATGAACTATAAGTTGACCTTGAAAGGTCAACTTGAAAAATTTGACCTCAGGTCAAGGTCATGACCTGACCGGAAAGGGTCATGTTGCATATCAGTCGATCCGTATCGTCAAGCTGAACACATCTAAGGCGTTTTCATCGCTCTAGCATGCCTCTATCAAAAGTTATTCGCGAAAAACTGTTAGATACCATTCGTGACCTAAGATGACCTCAGGGCATAAACAAGGGTCACTGCCACCATTTTCATGTTCAGTGTGTCTGAACCACTTGTAATTCGGTGTTTGGGAGTGTTTATAATGTCTTTTGTCCAAAAGAGGCGCATTTCAATTTTCTCCCATTGACTTATAATGGGGAGGTCGCAAAATTGACCTGACCTTAGGTCATCGATATCAAAATTCTGAGATATACATTTTGTACATGCTATTGCTCTTAGCAATCGCTGAAAGTTTCAAAGCGATCGGTCACTCGGTGTAGCTATGACAGACATTGAAACTTTTTATGAGGTGAGGTCACTTCAAGTGACCTGGTGACCTGACCTTGAATGACCTTGGTCTGAAATTTTCACAACATGTGTAGAATTGATGTACGATAAGGTGTATCAAAAACGGCGGCGCTCCGCGCCGCCGTTTTTGAGATATTCGCGAAAAACCACAAGGGGGGTGTTCAAACAGTAATCGCCACGCACTTTCAGAATGTGGATCGCTCATGATTGTTCAATACAAACACCCCCCCCCCCCCCAGCAGGGCGCGGGTTAATTAATTAGGTAACATCTGTTTATGATAGATAATTTCATTAGCAATAAGCAATTAAAACGTTTCTATCACTTGCTGAGGTCATTTTTGTAGTGTAGTAGAAAAGGTAAAACAATACCTAACCCAAAACAGATCACTGGTTGCAACATGTGTTTAGCACCATGAAAATTCTAAAGAGCTCCTTAATTTGCACTTTGATACCTACACATTTGAAATATTTATTACTTTATAAATTTATGAAGAATTATGGACATTTCCTTCGAACAAATAAAATAAAATAAAATACAAAAGGGATACTGAATACGGTGAGTTTTTGGCTACAAGCTTTGTAAAAAAAAGAAGTTGTTGGTTTGACGAGGCTTGAAGGATAAAGCTGACCGTATGATATTCATTTTGGCTTTGCTTTTACTTTTTACAGGAAAAGGTCAAGTGATTTTCCACATGCTTATACATACTCGCTATGTTCCTCGCAAAAGCACTAAACACCATTAACCTATTACTTTCATACACGTTTATACACTCTTCATTTACGGTACGAGGAAATAACGCTCGTGCAGTATGCACCTAAACTGTCAACTTTTTCAATGCCTGTGTCTCCTTTACCTCGCGATTTTCTCCGAAAATATCTCGCACGTGTCATCAGTATTCGTGTCCGCTACTCCAAACGGACAATTCGGCACCGGCTCATCGTTATGACGATCCTCCATCTAGCGGATATCTCACTAAACCCTCCCCAGGCGACTACAAAGTCTGCAATATTGCTGGCATATGGCGCTGCATTGAAAGTTGGGTTCTGTAATACAGCACCAAACGAGCGTATTTCAAGCTTGCTTCAATGAGAGTACGTACATATGTGTGCCAAGGGCCCAATCTTATAAAATGCCGTACTATTCTATTCACGGCATTTGGTAACATTGACAGTGATACCTACCAGTGTCAACACAAGTTTATCCGAGTCGACAAAATGATTCTTTGGACTGTCAACATACGATGGACTGAAATGCGTGAAAGCCATTTTGTATTTGATAGCCTTTTTCTGCAGCTGAACTTCAGCCAGTGCTACCATATCCATTCCACGGCGTTTTTAAGATTTAGCCAAGAAGAGTTTTATATATTACGCCAGTAGTGGATTGTGAGCGTGGTCTATAGTGCCAAAAGACCGGCACAGGAAAGGGAAGTTGATGTGGGGTAACGTTGCCAGCTTATTTGGTTTTGAATGCAGGAGAATACGTTATTACTGGTGCGGTATGAAAGACATAGATGTCTTGGATGGGAGACAGGAAGTGGAGAGAGGAAGAGAGAGAGATGGAGAGAGAGAGAGGAGAGATAGAGAGAAAGAAAGAAAGATAGAGAGAGGGAGGGAAAGAGAGAGATAAAAATGCGTCTTGTTTTCTATAGGGTTTTAGGCTGTCTGTAGGACTAGGCGTAAACATGTTATGTTTTACGAGAAGAAGAATATGCTTTATTACTACAATGGTTTCCATTTATGATATAAAGCACGCAACATAGACGCATCACATTCGTTTTGCCTTGTCATCGCTTATAACTACAAACAATACGGAGCCATATCTACTGACTTTATGGCGCATTAACTATACATAATTCCACTTACTTATCTCTTATTCACTTCACTAGAGAACATCTGTCAGCCTCGTACCGTGTTATCAACAGCTGAATAC